CCATACTTTAAAGGATTCTACATTAATAATCTATACCGAACAAATTGATAGAAATAATCCATACATGCATACTTGTTCACAAAAATAGATTAAATGAAATGGGGTTAGCTATTCCGTCTTCTGCTCAATGTTCTGTGCATCCCTTTTCAACAGTGACCATACTCTTCTTCTATTCTTTGTCCTTAAATAGTTTGTCTCTTCATCGTCTTTCAAGTGGGATTCTTAGTTACCCCCTACGTGCTTAATCATCTTTTATACTTCGTATTTTTGTTTGGAACGCAGTGACTTTTTTAGGTTTAGGTCTTTTAGGGTAGTGAAGGGCACTTATTATTAAAATTTATGTTCAGTCATCATCTTTAGTAGTCATATTTAGGTAAACTCGCTATCTTTTAGTCATAGTCCAGTGAAGTTCTCCTTGCTTATTTAGGTTGCAGATTATATTTCACTTACCACAATCATTCAATTATATTTATTTTTATATGTTATTTTATACAGAGTATAGATTAAGGCAATAAGCACAATGAACTGAAGGAAGTACAAAAAACATGATGTTTTCTTTATATAAAAATAAATGAATGGCCCTTTATTGTTTAAAACATAAAAAATAATTTTTAAAACACCCGACATTGCGTAAATGATTAACTAGCAGACCTGATCCAGAGGGGTGGGGCATGTGTAGAGTATACAGCTAGCCTTTTTTATAATTTTTTTTGTTGTATATTGGGCCTGACAAACTGTTTAATATAGGTGGTGAATTATGTAGTAACTAGGCCTGGGCGGGAGCTTCTTTTTACTGTTGTCTCACAGGAAGAGAAGTATAAAGCAAAGGTATGAAATAGTTGTATTGATTTATTTATTTTAACATTTCTTTTGGAAAAAGGGTGACTTCTTATCATCTTAGATTTTAACATTTTCTGCAAAACCAATCTTTGCCAAAGGTATGCATAGATGTAATTGTTCAAAGGCTGGGAGATGCAACAGCAGCTGGCATGTATAAGCTCCTTTTCAGCACACTCCATGGCAAAGTCACTACAGTCTCTCTATGTGCATTGCCGGTATGTTAAAAAATAGATTTTTCAACTATTTTTTTTCTTCAAATTCTCCGAAGAAAAATGGGAAATTGCCCTAAATAGGAGTAAATGAGGTTTGGAATTCCAAAATAGGACTATTATGTTTTTCTTCTCGAAATAGGAGTTGTTACTGTCATGATTGAAAAATACTGCCATTAATTATAATAAATACTTTCATGTTAAATGCACTGTACTGCAACTATTTGGCAGTCACACATACAAGATGACTAGTAAACATACTTGTCACGGCAGTAAGTCGAGTCGCGGCGCCAGCCAACTGCCATATCGCCTAGGCGATTAGGCGCCCGCCTAGGCGACAATTAGGCGACTAGTCGCCTATATATTTATATATATATATATATATATATATATATATAATTATGTATATAATTATATATATAATCATACATATAATTAAACTATGCAAAATATATATCATACGTAGTATATATTAGTATGTACCAGTTTTTATGATTATTTTAACAGTTTATTATTTTATAATTTAGAACATATAATAAAATAGAAGTCTCACAGATTGGGTATATCATTATATCATATTATATCTTGATTCTGCAATATAGAAGTGTATATATACACATATATTGATAGATAGATGAAAATACACCCTTTATATATATATAAATACACAACTTAATTAATTAAAATAATAAAAAAATGAAGCCAAGAAGAAGAGATCGGGGACTGGGAACTAGGGAGTTGCCTGCTACTCTGCTTCCGCGAGCGAGGGACAAGGAGGGCCATACCTGCGACTTTGTCTTCTTCGTGGAGTTGTTCGTCTGCTTCCTACGACTCTACGAGGCTGCGACTTGGCTTGGCTATACGACTTTGGTCAACGAATCGTCGGTAAGGAAGATTACTATGGGCTTGCTTTTAATTAAAGCCTAAATCTATTTTTATTTTGGGTTCTGGGCCTGCGCCATAGCAGTTCGACTTTCCAAAAAGGCGAGGACTTCGATGCCAAAACAGCGCCTAGACGACGCCTAGACGACGCCATTCACAACTACTCTTCATCTGGCGAGGTGAGTGAAGCTGGCGAGCAGTCCCTAGCGCCAGGACGCCTAGTCGGCGACTAGGCGACGCCTAGGCGACGCCGTGACAAGCATGCTAGTAAATACTGTCACGTTAGTCCTATTTCGGGAATAAAAACATAGTAGTCCTATTTTGTAATTCCAAACTCCATTTACTCCTATTTTGGGAAATTTCCCAAGAAAAAAACAGTTTAAGCTGCTCGCTCTTCTGTGGGTTACTTTTGCATGTTCTTATAAAACTATAAAAGTAGATTTTATTCTATATCTCCTATCTTATTATGAAGGGGAGAACCTAACTGTGAGATGCAAGATGCTCTCTAAATTAAATAAACCATAAAAAAGCATTAAGTTGATAATCGAGTGTTGACATTAAATTCTGCCCCCCTAACTTTCATAGTAATTTTTAGGTGAAAATCGACTTTGCACCATTTTTAGGTGAAATTAAACTTTGCACCATTTTCAAAAATATCAATGTATTCGCCTCACCCTATCAGTTCAAAAAACTGTTTTAAGGAATGAAGTGCAAACACCTGAATTTTTAATCAGATGGGGTGTACATATTGTCATATTTGCTTTTTAAGAATGGGGCGCAAAGTTTAATTTCGCTCAAAAAATGGGGTGCAAATTCAAATTCCTCCCTTTTGGATGAACATGTATATATATGCACTCAAAGACATGTACAAAGTCAAATTCCCCTTAAATATTTCACTGTGTTGACTGTTGAGTACTTGATGTAGTTAAGTTTACGTGCATATATTCTGGTATAATTGCAGTACTTTGGACACTAGAGAACCAGATAATGTTTTAAAGAACTTTGTTACGGTCTGGTTAAGGGACGGAAAACCGAGATCTATGTGCAGCCCTTACCCTATGGCGATCGAAACACTACTTATTGTTGTTATCTCTCATTTTTGTCAGGTGTGCTTGTTGTGGATAATGATAGCTTTTCATCTAGGGTGCAGGCAAAAACAACTCTCAAGGCTTCAAACATTTGCAGCAGTTGAAATGGCTGGGAGTTAATTTATTTTATTCATCGACTACAACTTGTAAGGAGTTAACTCTTTTATATTTTTAGAGTTTTACCCACACAGTTGTTCAAATTAAAATCAGAAATAGATCCATCAGCATAAGAGTAGCATATTACTTTGTTTTCTCTATAGTTTGACACTTCATAGATATAGACACATCTAGTGAGTATGTACCTAGTTATCTCTTATCTCAAAAGAGAGAAGTCATACGCAAGAAATTACATTTTTGTTGTACTCTTTCAGTCGTGTAATGACTCTAATCCCCCCCACCTTTTATACCCAGTAAGGATGTTTTTATTTGGACTGTTTTCAGTCCCAGACCAAACTTAAACAAACCAGACCATATCAAACTTAAACATACCAGACCAGACTTGACTTCCGTAGTTATAAAATACACAGAGACCAGACGTTTATCAGACCAGGCATAAATAGACCAGATCACACTTCTTACTGAAACCCATAGGTTTTGGGGTAAGGGTTAGGGAACGCCTCACCACTTTATTGAAAAAAAGATGAAAAAAAGAGATTATAGGGAGGAGGGTTATACCAAAGCCTACTACTCAATTTATGGGGGGCAAATACAATGTTTACATTTGATTCAAACTCAATGATAGATTATCTTTAATGTTATATTTATTCATATTTTTTTTTTACTTTAAGTTGGGATAATTGTAATATATGTATCATTTTTAGAGGATAATAATGTAATATTAATATTATTTTTCTATTTGATAGTTTTGTCCAAGTTTGATGCATAAAGTAATTATTGGATTGTAAATAGTACGTAGTAACATTTTTTCTTTATTTAAATACATTTTATAATCCCTGTAAATTATGATGCTGATTATTTTAGATCCCTTTTTCATCCCTAGAATGTGCATTATTTTATTTTTAGCTCATCTATAGCTCTAAGACTACACATATATTATTTAAAGAGTTAAAATAATATAAAATCAATCATTCACATTTTAAATGTTTTAACAAACTTGTGGTTCGATGACATCCCTTTTTCATCCCTAGAATGTGCATTATTTTACTAAAAATTTTATTTTAGTAATATTTTTGAAAAAAACTCTTAAAATTAGATCTAAAATGTATTTTATTATTAAAATAAAGACAAATTATATTAAGATGCTAAAATTATCCACTTCAATAAATTTAGTCATAAAAATATCAGTCATATCATGTATTGTTATTGAAATTCTGATATTATAATTATATTATTATTATTATTTTAAAATGTTGTATTTTTATTTTTATTGAAATTGAAATATTGGTACAAATAGAGGAGTTGTGCAATATTACACTAAACACTATTATAATATTGTTATAATTGAAGAATATTTTTAATTGGACTAATTTCAATCCCATATCATACGAGGGTAGAGTTAAACAGACCATACTAATAATTTCAATTCAATTAAAAACATCCTAAGAATAATACTCCTTCCGTCCCATTTTACTTAGCCAAACTTGACTTTTCAAGCAAACGACGTCTAACTTTGACCGATTATATGTTTATATAGAGAAAGTATTGATAATATGAAAATGATACGAAAATATTTTTTGTTAAAAATACTATCATAAAAATATAAAATTATTATTTTTTTCATAAATATATTAGTTAAAATAACTGGTCAAAGTTTACAATCTTTGACTAAAAAAGTCAAAGATGACTAAGTAAATTGGGACGGAGGTAGTATAAAAAAAGTTGGGGGCGTAACTCAACAAGTGGGAAGAGGTGTCACAAAGTAGAGGCTCCAGGTTCGGCTTCAAACAAATACTTGAGCTAAAACCTCTCTTTTTTCAGTGTGTAATCAAAGTTCAATTTACATTCTAAAAATAACTTTTCAGTCGATCTTCGGATGCCCTCATAGATGAGGTGTCATCTTTTTTAGAAATGATGAATAAGAAATTGAAAATTTGTGTACATAAAGATATAGCGTTGTAGGGGCGATAGTAGAAGGGTAATCCGTGATCCTAAAAAAATTCAACAAATGCATACAACAATAACATCAAAGCCTTTCGTTCCAAAAGAGTTTATGGTCGGCTAACATGAATGAATATATGAAATTGGAGCTAACAAAGATAAAAAAAGGATCAATTTCATTGAGTTAAATTCCTGTTCTCAATCCAAGACCATTATGCGCGGCTTCAATTCCCGTCGTTCACCCATCACCCGAATTGTTGTTTCGTTTCGATAAATTCTACAAATAAAAATAAATGTTCAAATAAATAATAAGTAGACAAGTCACATGACATGAAGAAACTGAAGGGTAGACAATAACAAATTAACAATGATTCAATATCAAACTAGCAATAGATCCAAAGAAACATAGATACAAAATCCAGTACAATTTTAAGAGGATGAAACATCAGTTACTTTGAAAGTGCCCATGTACAAGATGACATTCTAAGCTAATGAGCTTTAAGCTGAACAATCACCTTGAAATATATATTTTCCTCAAGAATATCGGAGAGCACGAACACGATCTTGAATCAATGTCCTTTCCCAGTCAGCTACACCCTCAAAGGCGTGGTCAGGAAGATTCTCAAAGGGTTCTTTCCAAGAGTCATTTTTAGCCAAATCATATGTGGCCCCACGTACCGCTCTTTTGTTAGGCCCACAGGGCCTCTTTGAAGTGAGAGTCTGGTATGCTCTATTTAGCTGGTCATGCAGTAAGCAACACAAGAATTACAAAATTATTCATCAGTGTTAGCTATATGCGAATATGAACAATTAAGATGAATTTGACTGCAATATTTAGAACTTACATCCATGTCACAAAACCAGAACATGTATGCAATTGCAACAGCAGGAGCCCGCCCCAATCCAGCTGTGCAATGCACATAAACTCTTCCTGTCTCTTCAGAAATGGCACATTCCAATAACGAAACAGCCTTAGGCAAGATGTTCCTTAAGGAATCTGGATCAAAATCTTTGGCCTGTGGATTGTAAGGTAGTAGCTCTAAGGAAAACATTTACTAATGCACGCATTTGATAATGGCTTCCCAGTTCCCATACCCACAAGATGTGGTGGCTTGTTAAAACAGAAACATTTTGGGATCTGTGGTTTGTTTTAGAGCTTACTGAGAGGATTTTGGCAAATTAGAACTTACCATTGGAGTAACTCAAATCATTATAATTGCATTTGTATTTTTATATCTTACTGCAGTTGGGGGATTATCCTCTCTGGGCCCTATAGTTAAGGTGCATTGCGCTTATGTTGCCTTTATTGTCCAAACAGTTTTTTACCAATCTTACACCTTCAGATGTTTTTTTCTACATCCAAATTTATAAAGAAACTTTAATTGATACAACACAACAACATTACCCCAGTGCCACAAAGGCTCCCATCTACGGTGGGGTAAGACAGAGTTGGATGTAGGCAGCCTTGCCCTTATACTAAATCATGGTGAGACTGTTTCAAAATGACTCATGATGAAAAAAATTTAATTGGTACAACTACAAGTAAATAAAATATTAAAATGTTTAACTTCTTCAAAACGTCCCGAAATTTTCGTGAGCCCGAGGCTAACATGGAATCAGCCTTTCTACTCTTATCGGCAAGGTCTATTTATATCTCACCTTCTTCAGCCCTACTTTTGAGAGGGACACACTAGTTGTGTTTGGATGTTTTCAAACATGCAAACGATTAAAGCTTCACTTTTGGGGGAGCAATATGCAATTTGGTATAAAGTCCCAAAGAACATCATACATGTTAAATCACTAAATGCTTAGCTTACTGGGCATCTCATGTGACGAATTCCAAGTTCTTCACATCTTTGTACTATGGAGGGGAGATCTACTCCCCAGTACTCGATATCCCTGTCCTGCTGCAAGTTTAGTATATATGCCACATTCTGTTCCTCCCTCAAGTGGTCTATGTCTTCAACTTTCTGAGGTTGAGAACCAACGATGAGATTTTCAGTTATCAATGTATAGTTCATACCTGAAAGAAAGGAACACACTGTTAGCAATATTTATCATAACAATTAACATAAATTGTGCCAAGCAGCGAAATTCAATATATCTGCTTAACCATACTATAAGAATATAACAATCCCTGCCCAGACATGTCCAGGTGCTAGACCTCCCTTGTCTGCCTATCTTTTTCTATCATGTACCGACCTCAACTATGCCCCGCATAACTCTGCCTGGGTCCTGCACTATAAGTTTTGATCTTCGGCCCGGCTAGCAATTTTTAGGAAATAACGGATATTTTATACAGAGAAAATGCTAAAGAAATAACCCAAAATAGGAGTAAAACATATGAGTTTTTTCCTAAATAGGAACTTTTTGTCTATCCCCCCTAAATAGGAGCATATGACACAGTATGATCTCAGTATATAGTATGGTTTGAGGATGACACTACTTTAATCCTATTTAGAGAACATGTACTTTGGGAGGTCTCCAATGAAATAAGATTAAGAAAGATTTATAATCACACGATATTTTGCTCTGTATGAAACAGAAACATATCAGAATCACTTACGGCGGGATTGGTAGCACTAATCGTCTTATTTGGTTTATCATTATTATTTTTTGGCTTATCATTATTATAAGAGTAAATAATATTTGAATTACTTATTTACTTGACATTGGTTTTACCAAACACTTTTTCGTGATCTAAATTGACATGTCCTTAAAATAGAACTTAGCAAACGGACCCTTGATGACTTTGATGTCTTAGTACAAGACTACAAGGAGACATAGAAATTTCAATTAATTTAATAAAGGCAGATAAAAAAAGTCATTCCATGCCTACATATTCCTCTTTACCTCTCCAAAAAGCTTTGCTGATATAACCACACACATTATATAATCATATAAAGTAATCGAAACATTGAATAATAAAGCCCCTATCTGTATATCAAACACCTCAACATAGGCCCACATATTCTTCTATCCATCTCAATTCAATATTCATTATTTTTTGGCTTGAGATTATGATGGAATAAAGCAAAATGACTCACTAAACTGTCTGCGCTTCTTTGTTATGAAGCAGCGGTCAGTCCATGCAATTTTGGACGGGATTTTCACTATGGGTCATCCGGAAACAGCCTCTCTGCGCTTTAGTACAGGGGTAAGGCTGCGTACATCCGACCCCCCCTTACTCCAGCGTAGGTGGGAGCCTTTGCGGCACTGGGGTAAATGAAAATGAAATGAAATCTCAATTCAATATTCACTAGAATAATTAATTAAAAAGGGGAAAGATATACTCAGTACGAAAATAAAGAGCAAATCAAAACCACAATAATTCCAAGAGATTCAAGAGTCAATACCCTGATATATTGAGGGGCGGAGCTGATCGCTGATCGCCTGATCCCTAAAAGTTTGAGACTATAGAGCAAATACCTTCAATTTGATATATTATGGCTCTCGTAACTCATTACGAGTAAACAATTGACTCTTGGAAAACAGCACTATTTTAATTTGAATCAAGTAAAATTTGATGTGTAATATTGATTATAATCAAATTTTAAAATTAACTTCTAATTCACTCATTACTTACATGAAGCCTATAATGTATACGACACATATATTAAATCTATATCTCTATTAGTCTCGTTTAAACTATCATTATCTAAGCTACATATGCAAAATTCAACTCAAGTATTGTTTAAAAATGATTCACCTTTTTTATTATGTATTTAGTTACGTTCGGACCCTGAGTCATTTTTACTACTACCTCCGTCCCAAATTGATTTGCAAATTTGACTTTTCTTGGTCAAGCATTTTCATTTTATTTGCTTAATTAGGATGTCAATTTTTAATTATATTCTAATTTGAACTTTTTAACTTCGAAGAGATTTTAATGTAGTTTCAGAATATGTAAATTTTAATTATTAAAAATTGAGTTAATTATCGATAGTAAAGATTGAATTTTATTATTGGTCGACCATGGAATGGGGCTTTTTGGCAAGGCCATAAGGGTTATGTGGTAGAAAGCAGGTCGAATTTTGTGAAAGAAAAAGCGATTGGTAATACTCGTTTCAGCCAAATGGAGTCATACATATTTATATAACAGTATTATGATCAAATCCAGCAATTGGTGATTTAAAGAAAAAAATGTACGTATAGGGTGATGTGCCTGAATTTGCTCTCTTTTTGGAAGGAAAAAGTTGAACACTATAAAATTTATACAAAGACTCTTATTCTGTTTACTAAAATTATTTAGCTGATCAACAAAATAAGTGCGACCTAAAACTGGAAATAGCAAGAGAAGATTATAGATGCAGAAGAAAGGAACTGACCTAGATCATGGTGATACTCATAGGGATTCCTCATCATCCTCTTCATGGCTATGTTATATTCCTCCATTTTTCTATTGGAAGAACTCTCTTTGCTTGAAAGGGATTTCCCAGCTTCACTCTCAGTCAATTCAGAATGCATCATGTTGGATTTGGAAGATTGACTTGAGACCCTGACAGTGATAGGTGCAAACCTTGGTTTGCCTTTGCTCAAAAGAGGGAAAATCAATGGAGTCTCTCGGGCTGAAGAATGAAGAACCGATGATGATGATGATGATGAAATCATGAAAGTTTCCATTTTCTCTGGCTTCTGGAACTTCCTTTCCACCCAGGAAAAAGGTCACTCGAACTTGGGCCCGCCAGAAAATTGGCGACTAATCTGCACCGTGCATTTCATATGTGTATCAGTGTAGTGATAAAATCCAGGCAAAGATTCTGAAGTAAAGAGTATATTCTACCGAAAAAATCTTGTTGTATACAAGTATAACATTAGCATACAATATACTTCGTACAACATATGTGATGTATGCATATCCGGACAATTCTTTTGGAAAAAGGCAGAATTTTATGTCAAAATGTTTTGTATACATACGCAGTAATGTATAATTGTCTTGTGTACACACACAGTAGTGTAAAATTTGTGTACATATTTTGTGTATATCAAGAATTATTCTATTTGAAGCTATTTCTACATGTCTATTTGTACGTTACGTCGTCAAGTGAAGAGACAATTCTTTTATTTTTTTTGTCTACGAGTAATCTTGATTGTTTATGGACAAAAAAATAACATATTTACAAATGAGTGTATGAGGGCCTGACAACAAACAGGATTATGAAATGTTTATGTTTGTAAGTTGTAACCTCAATCACATTTATCTACTGCAACAAATACTCCGTAATATTTACTATGTATTTAATTAGAGTTTATTTATCGGAGAGTTAAGACTTGAGAGGCATAAAATGCTCTGAATTTTCACCTTTCGGTTAACATTTGATATTTTTTCTTTTGAGTAATTATTTTGTGATTTTTGTTATCTCTTTTATCTTCACAATTTGCAACGATACATTTTTACGTATATTCTACTTGGTGATCAAATTTATCAAGTTCATTGGAATGGGAGCATATGATTTTTTATTTTTAAACAAAAACTTAGAAAAATGGCTATAGTTTTTTGACACATCTATATATATATATATATATATATATATATATATAAAGGTAATCACCAGACAAATGACTGTTCCCGCCCCTGAATACGTGCAAACCTCATGCCTAAAAACTGTCATTTGTGGCCAACACGTAGTTTTTAAATTGTGGTAGTAAGTGCAATGATTAATAAAAAGTTTTTGTTCTTACCACTTCGACAAACTGAAAAGCAGTCAGATAAAATAGTTAAATACTCCGTATTATAGTACGATGCGCTCAAAGAGTCAAGGGTTCCATATATCAAGATGAAATGAGGTTTCAGGATTGAAGAAAGTTTAGCCACCGTATCAATGTGCTGCAAATGTCAGGAAGAAATCTCTATGGTGAAGAGGTATAATTATTGAATCGTATTTTAGTATCAAACGACTCAAACACATATTGGTATTCATGCTTCAAAGGTAGGGTAGAAGAGACCATGTCCTGAAATAATGGCTGCATTTTTCTAAGGAGTACTAAAGTTTGCTTGGGAAAAAATCCAGTTTAAATAGTACTCTGTATTTTTATTGCAGCTTAATTTTGAAATTCAACATGGTTCGGTCAACTCAAAGATAATTTAAGCATACATGCTTGAATAGCATTTTATGCGATTAAAACATGATTTTGCCCTTTCTTCCTTCCCCCTTTTTTGGCAGGTTTGCGATACTGCTCGGCTTCTTTGCGGTGCTTCAATTTGGCGATACTTAGGATCGCAGACTGCCCATACTTTAGGTTCGATCTCCCACATTTTCTCTTGGTTAAAATTTATGTCAATATGAAGATACAAAACCACATTCATACGTTCCTGATATGATAGGCTCTAGGTGATTCCAATAGACCAATATTGACCCCCATTCAGGTCAGGCCAAAGCTATGACGAACAACAAACTGATGTAGAGTTGAAAAGGCTTGCAATCGGCTGAATTGTGTAGAACATCTAAAAAAAAGTACATTGTAATTTGTCAAAGGAAGTTAAGATTTAGAGCCTGACTAATATTGAATTAGCCGATTCTGATGAAATTTATCAAATTCTTGCTGAAGTGACTGTATTGACTGATCTTGTTGATACATGAACAAAAATAATTTAAATATATTTTATTAAAAAATAAAGAAAAAAATATATGAAAATAGCTACAAAGATCATCTACAGTAACTTCAGTCAATACAATTAGAAAAAATAAATACAATCTAACTCTTTTTCTTATCATTACACAATTCAGCGCGCAAAATAAAAAATTACGTGTTTGGTTAAAAAGTTGGCTGATAAGCCCGATAAGCCCGATAAGCCAAGAAACAGAGTCACTAAACAGGCCCTTTGTGGGGTAGGATATAAGATATGAGAGCACATAATCAAATATAGAAGTACAGAAAGTCTAAAAGGTTAGAAATACAATGACACCCGACCATGTCGATTTTGGGCTCTCAGAGATGGGTGCATCCTTTTTTATATATCATCTTAATTGAAATTTAATAACATATTATACATAATAATTTGATTATATATATAATTAGAAAATCGTAGTCAAAGTAAAGTGTGTGAATAATGCAAAAATATTAATGTTGCAACTTTTAAAGATGAGAAAGTATATCTTAGAGTTTGTTTGGTGGGCCAAGTATAATATGTTGGGCGTAATATATATTTTTATCAATTCATATAAACATGCAACATGACTGTTTTTGTGTTTGATATTTTTAGCTTATATATGTGCTTACTTGAACATCAAATATATTATTTATTATTTTGAACATCAAATATTATTTATTATTTTGTTGTACTATAGTTTATTTTATGCTATTTCAGTAATTCATACATTATCATGGTTGATGGCTGAGCAAGATTTAAAAAATTGGAACACTGAGCAGTATTTAATAAAAGCAATGTTTGTAGAACAATTTTTCCTAGACCATTTATGCTTTTGAGATACTTTCACAATATGCCAAAAATTAATTTACCTTTTAAATTTAAATATTAAGTATATCTATTTGTTTGTAATTGCTTTCTCATATAGCCATATAGGGTTAACCTTAAAAAGTTGAGTTTGGAAGGATACCAAACAAAAGGGGTGGTAGGCAACTAGGCAAGTAGACATTGGCACTAAAAGGTAGTGTTATCCAAAGTAATAAATTTTGTGTACTCATGAATTTTCCAAAATGTGTAAAACAAATTATTGCAACATTTTGTAAACATATATTTATATTTAGTACAACAACAAATATCAATATGCCATTGACAGTATTTGAGTGTCTATTTAACTAAATATTTCTCACACTATCAATTTGAATTTTACAACAACAAAGAAATAATATAAGAATCCTGCCATCCGTGCATTGCACGGGTTCAATACTAGTTAACTAAAAAATCTTGCAATCAATTTAGTGAAGAATCGTATTTATATCCCCAAAAAAAGGTATTTGGTCCTTGTGAGTATATAATAGATGTACAAGTCCTTGGTAGCCTCTGTGTATTTCCACTAATACTCTAGTATGTTTCATTGTCTATAAATCATGTTGGAGTATTTAGTAAATAGTTTTTGGCCACTCTTCATAATGTATCGTATTAGTTGCAACATTGCAATTTATACACTATTCATGTACTCTATTTTGACTATATTTTAATTATTAATGTATGTGAATTAATTTTTTTTTTGAAAAATATTGTTGAATTCGTCTCATTACAAAGTTTCATAATCTTATTTTTAAAACGTTTTTACTAATAGAGAATTAAATATAATGACGATCAAAGTTGTGCGTTTGCAAACGTAAAAAAGGGATGTTGCAGCTATAAAAGAATAGAGGAAGTATATAAGCTTTCATTTAGTCAGTAAAATGTCAATAGTAAATCCAACATGTTCAAATTGAATCTACCCGCACGGGTAGCTCAGTTGGTCGAGTGGTGGAAAAATTAGACCAAGTGATCAATGTTCGAAATCCGCAGCAGCCGTGTGGAGGTTACAGAACCTAAAATAAGGCTGGACCTCTGGTGCGCACGTGTATAAAGCCTACCGCCGCTATATTGACTGAGTCACCGTGATTAACCTCTCCACCATCCTGTCGAGTCGGGGTGGGGGCTCGTGGGGTGGGAGATTCCACCTTTTGGACCAAATGTTCATATGAATCCAAAGTAGCAAATTGAATAGAAATTGAAAAGATAGAGGGTCAGAGATTCTTAATATTGTGGCATAAACAAGCTAGTTTCAATATTGTTGCAAGCTCAAGAAAAATAACCAGGATTTGCTTTCCTCCACCCTCTCATACTTCTCTTATCTAATCACATTGTCATTTTCACCACATTCTATAAGCTGAGTTTAAAACGGCTTCAAACGGACGAACTTCTGGAGACGAGCAAGCTTCTTCAGCAATCAGCTTCGTTCCAAATCTTCTGGACGGCGGCGTTTGGCCTTCCGCGGCGATTCTCCGGCAACGAAGCCACGACTGTATTTTAATGCTGTTTAGGTTTATTTTGGTCTTACTCCGTAGTTGATTTATATAAATCTGATTAAGCATGGTGATTTTCTATGGTCTAGTGGAAGTCTTGTGGTTGAAAAAAAATTATTTGAATCTCCATATCCACTCACTATGCACCTCGAATTTCTCTCTAAGGAGATGGGAATTTCTCTGGAATAGGACTCTTGGAATAAAATGCCAAACACTTATTTTAGCCGATGGATCAGATCAAGAAGCCAATATTCAGCATAATTAGTTGATTCTGTTGAAATTTATGAAAATTCCCGATTCGGTTTACGATGCTTGACTGATGATAAAACAACTTGATCCCTGTTCAGTGACTGGTTGTTAAAATCGTATTTTTGAATCGAAATTACATTAAAAATTGAGATTTTACGATTTAAATCGAGATTTTAAGAACCACACTTTGATTATTTTTAGTAAATAAAATTTATATATTCAGAAAATACATTAAAAAATTTACAAGTCTGATCAAAAATATTTAAATTTGATAAGAATGATCATTTAAGTCGACCATGTGAATAGTGTTTAGAAACCTTTGAATGGGACCAATGGCGGAGCCAGCTTGAGGACTTTGGAGGGGCACTTATAGGGAAAACGAAGGTCTACGGAAGATGTTACATCACCATCTAGAATATGCTACACATATATTTTATTCTAGAAAATAATATCTTGAAAAGTAAATTATGCAATCAAAATTTTAATTACATACAACATCAAATGAGATTTTTTATGAAATCAAAAAGCAAGAAATTAAATATGATGGGTCGTTTTGATGAGAAAGCTACCATAGCAAAATTGTGATCCCCACCCATGCACTAAAGAGCTAAATGGTACATCACCAAAATTTGAATACTACTGTATTATTTAAAGTCATTTTAAATTAATTTAGAGCTTAAATAAAACTGAAATAAAGTAGAATATAAAAATAACTAACACAAGGATTCGAACATTAGACCTATCATAATCAAGGGACACGCTTAAATGACTTCACTTCACCACTTTGCTACGATGTCTTTTGGTTACCACAGTGTTTATTAATGTATAACACACATATGTTATAAACATTTACAATTTTATATTTGATATATACTCCATATATATATAATAATAAAAAAAAAACTGCAGGGGCTCAAGCCCCTCCAAGCACCTTACTAGTTCCGCCCCTGAATGGGACATAGGTAGTATGTAAAATAGCTAAAATTATTCTCTATAGTAACTTCAACCGATATAGCCAGAAAAGTAATTTCATCCTTACTTTTTTTATTATTATACATTTCAACGCGTGAAATCAAAAATTACGTGTTTAACGAAAAAGTTGATTAATAAGTCTGATTACCCGAAAAACAGTGTTATCAAACGGACTCTTCCTTTGTATGCATAGTTTGAATGCTGAAACCTTGAAACCATGCAAAAACCCGCATTTTTTAAGAATTTGAGATTATACATTTAATTAAACTCTCAAATTTTGTGATTCTCGAAATGGATCGTTGAACCGATGATCTAATTAACATTAACCACTCAGCACGGTGAGTGGTTATATTGGCAATAGCAAAATTTATATCCTCAAATAATTTGACTTTTTACAATTACAAGAAATCAGTACAGAGAGATTATTTTTGATCTTGTAAAAAATGAAATATTAACCTGTTTTCTACTTCCGTTTTTCATTCTCCAATTTTCTATCTCCAGTTTTCTGTTTCTATTTTCTAGTTTTCCATTTTCAAATCTAAAAACATGTTCATCAATTTTTTCACCCAGTTTTGTGATCATTCAGAAGACTGACACGTTTACTTCACGGGTTACTAAATGGTGCTTATTAAGATTCGCGTTAATAAGGGACACATAAAATAAGCAATGTTATAAGATCATGTTTACTTCAAAATATTTAAAACGCTGTTTAACATTAAAATGTTCAAAATAACGCTATACATATTTTTTTTAATATAAACTTGAAGGGTTTTCTCACCTTGTATTTTTTTTACTTTATTAACCATTAAATTTGAAACATAATTTCAACAAAAATACATATTGCCGCCGTACAATTCTTTAAACTCTCTCGACGCTCTATCTCACTCAACATGTTTCTACCGTTGGATGATAAACTTTAACAAAACACAAAAGTAAAAGGGGAAAAACTAAAAAGGGCAGGCCTCCATACAAATCTGTCTTTTCAAGAACTTTTCAAGAACTTTTTTGTCAGGTCTACACGGTATTTGGCTTGTATAGCTTCTCAACCATCTTTCTGTATTCTTCTTGATTGCCCCACAATGCTGCCGCCTGAGTGTTTAGCGGAGAACTTATATTTGGCTCTCCAAGCAAACTCTGAATGGAGAGTAGTATAGTCCTTACATCGTAAGCAGACGACCATTTGTCCTGAAAGATATCCAAGCATATGTTCCCATATACATCCACGTTTTGGATGAAAACAAGCTGTCTCAAATTTAACTTTGGGTGATTTAAATGGATACTCATTAGGGAAGGTCAGAGAGAGCTTATATTCTGTTCCTTTAAAAACTGTGTCTTTACATTACTGCCTGTAATTGTCCCTTTCCAGCAAAATATGTTGTCTTCCTCTGGGAATGCTGATACTCCAGACTCACCGCTCATCATCAGAGCCATTAGTTCTGATTGCAGCCTTTTGAGAACAGATTGGGTATCGACGGACTTAGAAGATGGAACCGTTTGCTTTGTTGGAGGGATGGCCGGAAGGCTGCCGGCGTTGTTGCCTTGCCCGTTGTTGGTCGTATTCGCAGCCGTCATTTCCCTCTCAATCTCCCCTTGTTGTTTATGTTGGGATTAATTAATTAATCTTAATTAGTTTACTTTCACTTGTAATGCCTATATAAGGCCACCAATTGTAATGTTTTATCAAGTGGAATATAATACATTCTCCTCCATTCCTTTGAGTTGTAAGTTAGCCAAACACTTAAAATATTTTCGGATATTTGGGACCTTCAGTTTAATCTATAGATTGTCTTTGATTGAAGACGATAACAGGTGAAGTGGATCTGGCTGAGAGAGAAGGAAGCGATTGATAATTGAGGAATTTGCTTTTGTTAGGGTTCCCTGTACATACGTACACACACAAACATTCATGAACATAAATATATAATATAATATATGAGGTCGATCACCTCGTACGTGTACCTATACTCCTAACCTCTACCTTGCCCCTATACCTCGTACCCCCACCCTACACCTAATTCCACACCCTTTACCCATACTCATACCCTTACCACGATCTTACACTCTACCCATACTCCCCTAAAACCGTTCATACCCACCCATACCTACTCGTAGGGGTCGGGGTAGGGAAGGAAGGTATGGGTGGTGGGGGGTGGGTGGGGTGGTAAGGTCTAGGGGTACGGGGTTGGGGGGGTAGTGTGTGGGTTAGGGTGGTGGTTAGGGGTAAGGGTGGGGGTAGTGAGTAGGGTTGTGATTGGGGTAAGGTAGGGGTAGGGTAGGGAGTTGGGATAGGATGGCGGTACGGTGGGCCGGGATCAGGTTGGGGCCGAGGTAGGGGAAGGGGTAGTGTGGGGGTAGGGTGGTGGTGAGGGTAGGATGGCAGTAGGGTGGGGGTAGGATGGCGGTACGAGGGTGGGGGTAGGATGGCGGTAGGGTGGGGCCGAGGTAGAGGGCATGTGGGAAGGGGTAAGGTAGGGGTAAGGGGTAATATACGAGGTGGGGGTAGGGTAGGGTGGGTCGGGGTGGGTTGAGGTGGTAGTGGTGGCGGTAGGGTAGGGTGGGACCGATGTAGGGGCATGTGGTAGGGGGTGGGGTCATTGTAGGGAAAAGGGGTATGCGGGGTGGGGTTGGGTAAGGTAGGGTAGGGGTCAGGGGTAAGGTACGAGGATGGAGGTACTAGAATGGAATCGACATCAGAGCGGGACCGAATCCAGCATTAGTTGCAAGTATGCAAATTCATTGCAGCGGTCTGTAGTACCAAATTTGGAAAACTAGTAAAAGTCACTTCTCCAAATCATTACGGAAAAGAGAGACATGTCTCATTTTTTTAGTTATGGAAAACGGTTTGGTAAACACGTTTTTCTGTTTTCCCTTCTCCAGTTTTCCAGCAATTTTCTTTGGTAAACACGGTTCATGTTTTCTGTTTTCTAGTTTTCCAGTTTTCTGGAAAACTGGAAAATATTTCTGTTAGTAAACAGGCCCTAACCTTTCCAGATTGCATTTCTCGTTTGATCGTTTCATTAATGGTCTACAGACTTTGTATAGGTTCAATGCATTAATAAAACTTGTCATACTAGTATAGTGGTTGAGGTTTGTGCAGAGAAGAGAGAATTAACTGAAACCACAAATTATTTACTTAAAAAGGAAAGTGACAAAGTTAGTGGGACATCCAAATAGGGAAAGTCGACAAAGTTATAAGGGACGGAGGGACTATTATATAGTCAAGTTCTACTATTTTTGTCTCGATTAAGGGAAATCTTTGCTGCTTTCTTAATTAATACATGGCATGTGTAGGATAATAATTATGACAATTATATTATTATATAGTCCCTCATTTCCCAAATGCCTGTGAATTTAAGGTTAGCCTTCACATATTAAGAGAAACGTAAAAAATAGTTACAAATAAGTACTCCCTTAAGTCCCGAATCAAATTCACACTTTTCTTTTTGGGTAAGTCCAAAATAAACCTCAAACTTCTTCTTCCTTCCTTATTTGGCAAATTATCTATATCAAAACAGTGCAAAACAATGTCAAACAGTGCAAAATAATGTCAAACAGTGCAAACAGTGTCACAACAGTGTACTCTATAGTACAGTCAAATTTATTTCCTTAATTTATGTGAAGTCAAACACTGAATTTGTTTTGGGACCGGAGGGAGTATTACTTATTGCTGTTTTTGTGGAAATAAAGACATCGTTGGAAAATACAATTAATGCACAAAGAGAAATATTCTTGAAGGGGGTAATACTTGGGATATATTATTCATTTACATCCATTTGCAGAGCTCTCTTTTAACATTCTGGTTCTGGCCTCCTCTAATATCTAACTCCTTTTGCCACTTAAAAAAATGGGCAACATTTTCCTCGGGTGTACCTACCTTAATCCCATGTCCGAGGTTCGGAATATGTTCCCCCCTACCAGCCTTCCTAATGGTGTCATGTATGTGGTTGGTGATAAATTCCTTGGAACCAAACAGGACCCCGAGGTCAACATTTCTCTGAACTGCCACATCAGGACCCAACCTTCTCCTACCATCGGTCATATCCACGGTCCAATCCAAGTTGACCATGTCTACTCCCATCAAGGGCAGCCTCTCTAATAAACCCCCGGATCCACTCGCATATAGGATCAGTGGTAGGTCAGGATGAGTTTCCTTAACTGAATCCACAATCTGCTTCAGGTAAGGAAGACCAAACTCTTCAAAGTCCACTGGACTGAGCTCTGTTGCCCACGAGTCGAATATCTGAATTGCCTGATCTCCATTGTCTGCTTGGTAGCGTATGTATTTGGCCATAGAGGTTGCAAATTTTTGAAGAAGCGCGTGAAGAACCTACAAGAAAACAATGACCAACATCAAAAGGCAGCCTTGACCCTAATTTAAGGTTTGTTTGGATGGGCCCAGAGGGAGAGAAATTTGCAGGAATTGCAGTGCTTAGCTCTTTTGTAATACTCCGCATATAATAACTCCTATGTTTTTGGAAATAAAAGAAAGGTGATCAACATTTGAAATCTTATTTCATTGCATAGTGTGTTAACTTAATTTATTAAATCTTAAAATGCAAGTCCTGTGTACTTCTTTAGTTGTTCCAATTTCTTTATATGATGGTTTCTTTTTAAAGAAATTGCCTTGAATGAGAGTACCATAATCTTCCCCTAACCAGAATTAATGTATGATGATGCCATAATATGGAATATGATTTCAATATGCCAGTACTTTACTCCTATATACTCCTAATTAGAGTGTACTAAGTACACTGGTACTCCCATTAGGAACATCACCTTATCTTTTCTCCAATTTAGGGAAATTTCCCTTATTATTGCTTGTTCCACTTTCTGTTGTTGGCAAATCTTTTCTTTCCAACTTTTCTTATTTATTCATCTTCTCTACTACATTTTATACATTTTCACTAAGCATTATTATTTAGTCATTTACTCTTAATTTCCATAAATAACTTGCTAAATACAAGTAAACCGAATGAGTACCAAAATAAAGACTAGCCCTAAAATGTCTAACATACAATCCAAGATTCCAAGCAGACCGCTAGTCTCCAGCTCTTCTCGTGCCTTTTACACCATTTACGGAAGGTTTAGAGTTCAGACCACATATTCCTGTCATCCCAAACAAAGTCTTGTTTGGATAAGGCTCGACTTTTTGAATCCGCCAAGGCACGACTGTCAAAAGTCATGCAACTTTTATTTTTAAAATTTGCTTCATAGTGTAACTAAATATTTCAATATTTGACTTATTTGTATCCCTTTTTGAAAGTTGCATGCACGTTTAGCTTCGGTTGATGAAATATAACTTTTTGTGGGACAAAGAGATTTGAAACATGACTTTTGGGTAGGAAGGAGTATATGGGGGGGGGGGGGGGGGGGGGGGGGCATGTTCAATTCAAATAAACTTTAAAGTAAAAAAATTACACATGAGAAGTTTTTTTATAAAACTTGGGTTGGGCCATGTAAGAAGAACTTTTGAACTACAAACACTCATCATAGGTTGTAAAAAATAAAATATACTAGTATTTTGTAACATTAATAGTAATATCCAGAATGGAAGCAGTAAAACAAACTGCCTTCAATTAGAAATTACCTTGGGCTGTGAGAAAGCTAGTCTCTTTATTTTTGTGAAGTTTTTAGATGAACCACCTTCAACAACATAAGATGCCAGAGTAAAAGGTGCCCCGACGAATACTAAAACTGCAACTTCACTATGAACCTGAGAAATTAAACATGCAAATCAATCTTGCTGTTTAGTAACACTTGTGATTATTTATTATGACTGTAGTTTATTATTTTGATCGTATTGTGAACTTATCAATTTCAACTCACATCACTAGAATATTCAGTAGATTTCGTAATCTAGGATTCTTCACATTTGTATGGTAAAAATGAAGGAATCGATTTGAGTCGACTAAAAGCTTACACGGATAGTTGGAATATACATATATGTTAGGGTTCTGTGATTGAGAACGGGTCCAGGGACGACTCGGGGTAGCAGGGTACCCGGTTGAGGTCTTAACCTGCCTGCTAGGGTTGCTCTTCTTCTAGCCCGTGGCTGGAAGAGCATAGGGAGGGGGAGAGGGAGTCCGCGACTTCTCTAGGAAACACTTTAATGATCGATGGTTTTATTAATGCTGAATAATGAGTATTAATAGGCAGTCTGCCTTTACATGATAGGGTTCTACTCTAACTAAAACTGTAACTTCTAACACTTCTATTACTAATAGGAAACAATAAATAAATAAATAAAATATAAAGATAACATCAAACTGGACTCCTAATTAATTAAAACCCTAAAAATGAATCCGTAACATCACTCCCTCCCTCGACATTGAGCTTGTCCCCAAGTTCATATCTTGGATAAACACTGACTAAAGACTCAACGGCTCCCATGTGACCTTATCTGGTGTTGGAAAAATTGATGGTTTTTCAAATGAATAATCTTTACTTGTTTTGATTATTTTGATTACTTGTTAATTTAATCAGATTTTACAAACAAAATATTACATGTCACTTTGAGTGTAAAGGTTTGTGAGTTGCTGGAATGCAAAATATTTATTTTATCAAAAAGTAAATGTTCATCTCTTGGCCACTAAGCTTTCAAAGTAATAATGACTCAACGTTAAGTTTTTAGTATGAAACGTTTTTTTGGAGCCTACATTATATTAAATAATACTCCCACGTTTAATGGCTTAACGTATGTGGGAGTAAAATCAATCCCAACGTTAAGTATTAGAACGTTAGTTACTTAGTTCTAAATGAAAATTTTTCACCTGAGCAACGTACGTTGTTTGCATGTATATATATGTGTGTTCAGCTAGTCACTTTGTGATTGATAATTTTTGGAGCTAAACATCCCCTAATATTTTCACTCTGCTGGATTAATATAAATTTTCACTCTCGTTGTTCTATTACCGGCTTACGCCGAACAGCGTTTACGCGACTCGAGCTATATTATTTTTCTAACGCTTTTTGCAGGTTTATGTGGCCAATTTCCACCAACATCTGGTGTGGGTCATTGAACTACTAGTGCCACTTATAGCGTTGGCAGACCACTCCAAGGCTGGGAAGCCATCTTCCTCCTCCTCATCTTCTATCTCAATCAAGAAAAGCTTTTTACATTGGTGATTCATCGCCCAATGTTCATCACAATCATAACATAGCCCTTTTGCAAGACAAAAAATTATAGTCCAATTATTATAATTAACACACTTAAGATATCATATTTTCGCAATTGATCTTTATTTTAGTTATAAATATTTCACCAATTATCTACTTGTCAAAATGGTTAATTTTGTTAAAGCATTATAACTTCATTTTTGGGAAATTCAGATAAATTCAAATGTAAGAGATTTATTTTTGTATTTTATTACTATTGTATTTTGTCATTATCAAGAATTGATATGACAATAATAGTGATATTAATTGAAATATTTTTCAAACACGATAATGGTTATTTCTATTTGAAGGAAATCATATTACTCATACTTTTAAACTCATATATTTTTAACTACTATTTAAGCTGATTTGTATTTTTTTTGTTGATTGAATACATCTTTTAGTACAACATTACAGAAATGCTTATACACCATATATTTTATGATGAAATACTCCGTAATAACTTATACGTAGTATATGACTAAAATGAGGATAGTAGACAAAAATATTTTCAAGTTTTAATCACAAGTTTAAAATTGAATTTGTAGTGACTATTACTGTATTCAAGTTTAAAGGACCTCACTTTAAGCACATTTTTCAGCACATGTTTCATTCACTACGCGGTAATATTTTTAATAAAAAGTTGTTTATCGTTTCTGTAACACCGCCCCCGAGTATTTGTACTGTACCAAATTATGTATTGAACCTTGAGAAATGTATAAAAGCATTTTTACGCGATTGTAAATTTTTTATCATTTCTATTACGTGAATAGTAGAATTCACGTGGGGCCCACACCGGATGTGGGGCCGCCCGATATTATCGGAACCACATATTATATTAATCTTGGGCTAGATAATATGTATATGGTGATGGATATCCTAATTGGGCCTGGCAATGGCATAAGAGATGACCGGTTGGTCAAATGGGGCCAGATTATCGGTATCGGCAAATTATCGGATAACAGCCCAAAAAAGGGATTCCGGAGATTTCTAAATTAAAGTTGGGGAATCATATTGATTCTAAGGTCCAATAAGGATTCGGAACAAGTGTTATATTTTATTTGACCCGATAAAATAAAATATACTTAAAACAGTCCGGAAAATACAACTTTCGGGACCGATTGTACACTTGGGTACACAAAGGGTTGACCTCCCACATGAGTGGGGGCCAACCCACGTCCTTAAGCTGGTAAATGCATAGGGGAGCCGCACCTTTAGGATGCTGGAAGGGAGTGAGAAGGGGGGTGGAGACAAGGTGTGAAAGGAAGGGGGTCCCTCCCTCATATCATTGGTGAATGATCCAAAAAGGACACTCTCAACCACCCCAGCCCATACACTGCGTCCCAACCATCATTTTGGAGGAGAGAAGCTCTGCAAAAACTCCATTTTCATCCATCATACACGCACCAAGTTGAGGGAGGAAGAAGAAAGGAAAAAGAGAAGAGAAAAGAGGAGTTTAGGTGGGAAAACTTGTGTTTAGCAAGGTAAGGACCCCATTAATCCCATTTCGTTGTCTTTAATACTCTTATATGATTATTCAATCATATTTCACACCCTAGTAATGTTCTACACGTTGGGATGTGTAGAAAGAGGGGTTGGAAGGTAGTTCTAAGTCCAAGAACGGACTTAGAAGCCAAAGTGACCGGTTCGCCGGAAAATAACCTTTTTGAGGTTATTTGTATTACTATGGGTTTTATGATGATAAAACCTTGTTAGTAACTTGTCTAAGGTATTCAAGGAACTTTCACGGAGTTGAAAAGGTCACCGGAGTTGTCGCCGGAGTTCGTTGAAGTTCGTCGGAGTTTCGCCGGAGCTAAATCGGGAAGGCTAGAACTTCATAAGCTTCATTAAGGTGAGAAGACGGCTTTATGCTTTATAACTTTTGCGTTAGGCATGAGATTACCTAAAGTAATCAAGGATATGTTTTGTGGAATGATTAAAGATAATCAAGTATTTGCTTATGCCATGATTTTGCATAAAACATAGTTGAAAAGCATGTTATGTAGGTTTGGTGATTAAAAATGTGATAATATATTTTGTGTGATGATCCAGGGATCCAAAATGGTATTTTTGGATCAAGGACATCAAGAAGTATATGTGTATACAATTTCAAGTTAATCGGACTCCGTTTGGGGGGTAAAAAGGGGCGTTGACCGCCAAGTCAACTGCCATACCCGACCGGGTATTGACACATACCCGACCGGGTATTTGCTGAAAAATTGCCCAGGGGGCTACTGTCTCCTATACCCGATCGAGTATAGGTAGATACTCGATCGAGTATACATGGAAAATTAGCTTTGGGGGCTACCGCCTCCTGTACTCGACCGAGTATGGGTAGATACTCGATCGAGTATTGGTTTATGCTCAAAACGGGCAGTTTTGAGCAGGTTAATGTGGGCCGTTCAGGTGGGACCCGCCCACATTGGTTCCTAAGGATGGTTATATGACTATAGGGCTAGGTATTGTCCATAGTTGAAGGAACGAAAGGTTAGCCATATCCAGGTTAGGGTTTGGTAAGGATTTAGTTTGGGGTTGAGTATCCCCAGGACATTAGATGATCCTGAAACTCGGTTGGGGTTGAGCATCCCCGGGACTATAAATGATCCTGAAACTCGGTTGGGGTTGAGCATCCCCGGGACATTAAATGATTCTGAAACTCGGTTGGGGTTGAGCATCCCCGGGACCATACATGATCCTGAAACTCGGTTGGGGTTGAGCATCCCCGGGACTACAAATGATCCTGAAACTCGGTTGGGGTTGAGCATCCCCGGAACATTTAATGATCCTGAAACTCGGTTGGGGTTGAGCATCCCCGGGATGCTAAATGCTCCCAAAACTCGGTAGGATATTATGAATGTAGAATGTAGCTGGTGAGCTAGGCATTCGGGAAAAGGGTGAGAAAGGTCAGGTAAGAACTTTATCTCTAAAAGACTCTTTGAATGAAATGACCTACGGGTCGAGTATTTTACATATATATATACAGTATGTATCATCGGATGAATGAGTCACATATATATATATATATATATATGTATCACCCTATTTTTGGGTCTCGTGTCTAAAACATCAGTTATTCTTCATATAGCCTGCTTGTCACTAGTACTTCTATGGAGTACTGACCCCTCCGGGGGCCCTCACATTTTTCAGGTTGAGGCTAGAGTCCTACTACCTGCACCTTTGCCTAGGGTGACTGATCGAGAAGGAAGACGTGGTTCGTGCTTCCATTCTTATTTCAAATGTATAAACCGCTCATGGATTTTTGAACAATATTTTCATTAAAACAGTTGGGGACCTGCGTGCCCGTGTTTGCCACGTGTGGCTAAGTATCAAACATTTTATTATTTCCGCATTTGTTTGATTACGATATTGATGTTGATTGTATGTGTTTACTAATCGGTTTGGCAATAGAATCAATCGGACGCCTTGTACAACTCAATAGGGATGAACTGTTGTTGTTCTTATCGGGTTGTACGGCAGTTGTCTACGTGGCTCGGATGCGGTCCGGGGCGTGACAATTAAGTGGTATCAGAGCCATCGATTTCTAAACTATATAATTAACCTCTCAATATGGTTATCCTCAAAAAGTTTTGAATAAAACCATGAGCAACAGTTTTTGTACTTAAGGAACCGTTGGAAACCAAGTTATTGACCTCTTATTGTTAAGACGGTACCCTTAACAGTTTGTTGGCCATAATGTTGGACCAAGTGGTGTCTTTTGTACTACTCCGTCAATTGACATTGAAACGAGTCTAATGACTCATTCCTTATTTCTTTCAGAAATGGAGGGTGGACGCAGGATAACTAGGGGGAACCCGACAGGGCATGTGTCGGGGGCCACCGGGCATGCCACTCGGGCGGAATCACGGACCTCTAGGGGTAGAGGCCGGGGCCAAAGCTGAGGAGGAGGCCGAGGCAGGGGTCGTGGGCGTTCTACC